CCCAGTCTCTTGAGCAGCTAGGATTACAGGCCACTGGTACCTGACTCATAATGTCAAAATTTGAAGAAAAAAAATGCCAACATATAAAATGTTCTTATTTATGTAAGATCTATGTGATTATGGATTGATTCACTTTTAGGTGTTAAAATGTATTCACTCACCAATTATTTATAATTTTGGTTCTTCAATGTAACTAAAAAAGAGGAACAAATGGAAGAGCTCCTTCAAATCTAGGAGTGAAAAGATAAATAAAGCACACAAATCAAAAGCAGAGAGGGGAAAAGCTCAGTGGAAGAAGATAGGTTGCAGGAATTAAAAAAGAAAGGAGGACAGCTGGGCGTCAGTAGCTTATGCCTATAATTCTAGCTATGCAAGACTGGATCGTGGTTCGAAGCCAGCCTGGGCAGAAAAGTCCCCAGGAGACTCTTATCTCCAATAAACTACTCAAAAAAGCTGGAAGTGGTACTGTGGCTCAAGTGGTAGAGCACTAGCCTTGAGCACAAAGAAATAGTGCCCAGGCTCTGAGCTCAATCCCCAGAACCAGAAGGGGAAAAAAATAGTCCCAGCCCAGAAGGGAAAGCAAGGAAAGCCCAGGAGGCAACATCTGAACTTGACCCTGAGAGAAAAGTAGGCATAAAGAAGGCTACAACTTCTCTACTCTGTCATCACATTGAGAAACTAGGTTTCTCTCTCTCCACTGAATGCTGCTTTAACTAACAGAATCCAAGGGCACTGACTTGGGCTAGTTTTCAGGTCAACATCTAAAATCCTGCCGGTATTCCAGAAGATACTCTCCTTCTTCTGCAATACCTGATCAGCCTACGTCACCGGCCATAGAGGCCACATTCAATGTATTTTCATGGTGTCCAACATTCCAGGGGTCCTCACCACACCACTAGCCAGGTGAGTGGAACTCTCAGGGACTCTTCCAGTTCAGCGTCTGTGGCAGACAGGTACTCACAGAGAGCTCCATAATCACTCCCTGGAACAGAACCACCACCAATCTAAACAGAAGAACCACCAGTTCCACACAAATTTCCCACTAGAAGGAAGAATGAACTATAATGAAATGGTGGTTGGGTTAAACCACTACGTCTGGGGCCACCTTTTGATTTTTTTAGCAGCAAGGTTCTGACTCATAGAAATGAGGGCCCCATGGTATCTCAGATTGGATGTTGTAGGCAAAGTTACAAAGCTCTCAAGGTACAGGGAATAGACTAAAGAATGAAGTTTTGAGAAAACTACCAAACTTTAAGGAAAAAAAAAATACTAATGTTGATATTTAGAAGCTAAAGAGAAAGGTAGAGGGTTATGAGTATGTTATATATTCTACAGTTAATGGAGCATTCTATAGTTATCCTATAGTTAATGAGATTCTATATTTAATTTTTAGTATGGAAATTAATATAAGCAGACAATAAAGTAATTTCCCTTCATTTGCTTTGTCTGGGCTGCTGTGACAAAATGCCATAAACTGGGTTCCTTATAAACAACAGAAATTGATTTCCTACAACTCTGGATACGGGGAAGTCCAGCAAAGTCAGTGTCTGATGAGGACTCTCACTGTATCTTCCCATGCTGGAGAAGGTGGAAGAGCTCTCTTTATAAGGGTGTTCATCAGATCTGTTCTCATGACCTTATCACATCCCAAAGACCCTCATCCCCAATGCCATCTCCTTGGGGGCTAGCATTTCAACAGGGGACAGTGAGACATTCAACTTCTGAACGTTTATTCACATCACAGCACTGAGGCAAGATGATAGGGGAAGGTAACAGAGGAATCTGAAATAAGCAACCATCTGAAAATAAGCCAGATGGGCTGGGAAGGTGGCTCAATGGTAGGATGCTTGCATGAGGCCTTAGATTCGATTCCTCGGCACCGCATAAGCAGAAAAAGCTGGAAATGGCACTGTGGCTCAAGTGGTAGAGTGCTGGCCTTGAGCTGAAGAGCTGAGGGACAGCACCCAGGCCCAGAGCTAACATTAGAAATGACTAGAGCGGCAAACATTCAGTTGGTTAAACACTTCCTTGTACACACCACTGCCATTTCACTCCCAATTAACTCTCTCTCTCTGTGTGTGTGTGTGTGTGTGTGTGGTGGGACTTGGACTCAGAGGCTCTTACTATCACTTGGATTATTCACTCAAGGCTGTTACTCTATCACTTGATCCATACCTTGACTTCTGGATTTTTGGTGCTTAATGGGAGATAAGAGTTCATAAACTTTTCTGCCTGGGCTGGCATTAAAGTGAAGTCTTCAGATCTCAGTCTCCTGAGTAGCTAGGATTACAGGTATGAGCTATCAGTGCCCAGATTTTTCATAAGTACTTTAAGGCAAATCCCATACACTGTACCACTTACTTATATATACTCTAGTATATAGTTCTAATAGGAACTTTAAAAAATAATCAGAATACCATTTTCATACATACAAAAAAACAACTTTAGTTAGCTCAGATGTCCTACAATAGATGAATGGATCCAAAGAAATGTGGTACCTGTACACAATGAAATTTTACACAGCCATTAGAAAGAATAATATTATGTCACTTTCAGGGAAATGGATGGACCTAAAACAAATCATGTTAAGTGAGGCAAGCCAACCTCAGAGAGACAAATCGTGCAAGTTTGCTCTCAAGTGTGGAAGCTATATCTGAAATAACAAGACATAATAAATGATACAGGACTATAGGCATTCACACACAATGAGACCAAAGGAGGTCACTCAGGAGAGGAACAGAGGTACAATGCCTATGTGCATATGATCATACAAAATAATATTTATTGAAATGAACTCCAGAAAAAGAAAACAAGAGTGCTTTTTCTTTAAAAACAATAACAACAAATTTAGTCAGGTCATAATAGCTCATGTTACTAAGGAGGTTGATATATGGAAGCTGGTGGTCCAAGACCAGCCCAGGCAGAAAAGTCTATGGTAATTAGTAAAAAGCTAGATGCATGGCTTAAGAGGTACAATGCCACTTAAGTAATCAAGCAAAGCAATTGTGAGACCCTGGGTTCAAGCCTAGGTACTGTCTTCCCACACACACACAAAAAGAATTAACAGTGTTGGAATGGAACCCATTTTATGGTTACATCTGTCTTGCTGTTGGCTTACAGGTCAGTAAAGCCAGGATGTTTCACTGTATGGACCCAGTGCTGTCTCTGAGGCCTCTTGTGACCAGTGGCAGGTCCTGTCTTCTGTCCTGTGAGGTTAGTTATGCAGAATTTGCCAGGGTTGTGTTCATCTGCTGTCCCTTAAGGGACAATAGCACTGCTTTTCTGTTATCTTTTATCTACTACAAGTTAAGGGAAAGGCTTGGACATCACTATGGCATTCTGAAGTAGTGACACTATGTTGAGATGTTATTTGGGAAGCTCAATCTGACAATGTGGGATAATAACACCAGAAGTAGATTGTCATCCTTCCAGAAAGAGAGCTCTGTTCTCAGGCAAAAGTAAATATATGTCCACTTACTTTCGAGATCCAATCTCCTCAGGAGATTACTGGCACTTCCTATGATAACCTGACATGCAACATTATCTTCCCCATCCTCTTGGCACCCTGCCCAGCCTTTGCCTCCAAATCGTTGTTTTACATTTCGCTCTCATCTGACCTTCTTCCCTTGCCACCATCTACCTGTGCTTTCTCAAAGGTGAAAGACTTGCTGGAGGAACCCAAGTGCATCCTTGGGTGAAGCAGTAAGCACTGAGCATAAGAAACCAGGTGGAAAAGAGAGGCTGCTGTGGAGTTCACGGAAGATCTTACATGGGAAGGTCTTACAACGTCATTTTCCATCAGGTAAAGTAAAGATCTGGTAAAGGAAGCCTTGCTGGAAAGAAGGTAGGTGAGCCACTCAAGGCTGATGGGATCCGTGTGTGTGTGTGTGTGTGTGTGTGTGTGTGTTGCTAGGATGAAGCCTAGGCCTTAAGCATACTAGGCAAGGCTGTAACCACCAAGCTATACTCCCATCCTGTCTTAGACATTTTGTTTTTTATGCCTATGCTGGGGCTTGAACTCAGGGCTTTGTGGTCTTCCTTGGTTATTTTGATTGAGGCTGTCACTCTGGAGCCACACCTCCTCATCTAGCTTTTTTTGCCAGTTAACTGGAAATAAGAGTGTCATAATTTTGTCTACCTGGGCTGGAATGGAACCAATCCTCAGATCTCAGCCTTCTAAGTAGGTAGAATTACATATTTGAGTCAGTGGAGCTCCTGACCTGGCTTTTGTTCTTACCTACTACTTTTTCTAAGTCCTCTCTTTGGGATCAGGCCTAGTTCTAAGTTGTAGTCTGTGTCCTTATCTGCCTCCCCTTCAAGTCCCTTAGGTGTGGGTGTTGGGGGAGGAGGGGAGTAAGAGGAAGATGGAAATCACAGACCACACCGGAGAGGGACAGCAGTGGCTTTGCTCACAGCTGCAGGCAGCAGGTTTCTGGTTTCTCAAAGGCTTTTAGACCACAGTGGATTGAGGTGAGATGTTTTCCTGGACTGCAGCTATGAATCTGGACTGTGAAGTCTTTCAAAGTAGCCCCCAAAACACAGTCCTGCCAAAGCCAGCTTTAATACAGCTCAGGAATGAAGGAAATTCCATAGGCTGCTTCATAAGCCAAGGCAGGAGCAAGGCCAGAGCCAGAGCCAGCAAGATGGGGAAGCCAAAGGAGGACTGGCCCTGGAACTGAGGACCAGAGAGCCATCAGCAGCGCCTGACTGATGGAGATGGGGGTGGGGACACAAGGGGAGCAGGAGGAGATCTGAGCGCAGGGAGCTCCTGCATGCCTGCAGTCCTTTGAGACACCACGGGATCCTACCTCATCTTTGCCACTCTGGCTGCTGGCAATGCAGGGCACAGGCCCCCTGCTTCCTGAGCTTCACCGCAGGGTCAGCGCAAGCGCAGCTCCGGCGGTGCTGGTCTGGTTGCTTGGAGCTGAAGTTGGCCAGGGGCCTGTTGGCCTGTGGCCCACCCGACGAGCCCCGCCCCCAGCAAGGACACAGAAAGCTCCTGCAGCTGCTCCTGCCCGCCTGCGCTGAGGTCTCAGGCACCCAGTTTTCCAGCAGCTGCTCCCTGTGCGCCCCTCTCTCTTTTGACACACTGCTGCCATGACGGCCTCTTCCGCGCGGCCCGCCATCCTGGCCCTGACCGGGCTGGCATTGCTGCTGCTGCTGTGCCTGGGTCCAGGTGAGTGGTCCATGCCAGGCTGACAATAGGTGGAGTTGGCTATGGGTGGTGTTGCCTGGGTGCCCTGGGAAGGAGATTGGAGATGGAGTGCAGGTGTAGGGACACATTTTTAGGTACTGCTGGGCCAAGGCCATAGAGGAAGCAAGTCTAGGATTTTGCATTTGGATGAGCACAAACTGGTGCGCACGGGGGCAGATAGTGAGGGAACCAAGGTCCAGGTGAGGGTCTCAGACTCGGGGGGAAAGAGGAACAGGGATTTAAAGTGTGCCCACGGAAGCTTCCATGCTTAACATGTAAGGGACGGAGGGGTAATGTCGGCTCCAAGTGGCAACGTCCCTGCTGTGGAGAGATTGCCTTCAGGCATCTCCGGGGAACAGAGCCCACCTATTCCAATCTGCAAAGTTGAGGGCAGGCCTCACGCCCCAGATAGGTGAACCCTCTTAAAGGGTTAGTGCTTAACTTCTGCTTGGCAGAGCTCTTGGTGAATTGGCTGGCAAGTCTGAGAATTCTGTGTCTGCCGTTAGAAGTGCATTCACATTGCACACCCATCCCTAAGGGGGTGGGGATGCAACCAGCAGAACCCTGGAGGCTGGCTGACTGCACCTTCTACACTACAATCAGAAAGGACATCTTGTCGGCGGATACCACACTCTGGTTCTGAGATCCTTGTCACAAGTGATCTCAGATGCTCAGGAGCACTTACACCTCTAACATACAGCCACTGTGATCCCCAGGTGCACTGGTAAAGGGTTCTAGGCTTGGCAGGAGCTAAGTGACCCAGCCAAGCTCCTGAGACTGGCGCTGGTCCCACTATGTGAAGTAGCTGGGCACTGCCCAATGTAGATGGACTCCCAGGGGATCTCTCTGAATCTGCATTTTGCTTATGCAAAGTTGAGTCCAGTGGAGGGAAAAATGGTAGGAGTTCTAGGATGGGAGCCACAAGGTCACCCACATCACCAAGATCCTGGTCCCATTGTCAGGATTAGTGTTCTAAGGGACAACCACTGGCAAAGCTAATCAGTAGTCTCCCACTGGGTGATTTGAAGACATCCCCCCTTTTTTGCCTACTTTTTAAAAAAAAAATAAAACACATATTTAAGGTTTTGTGGGCTCTGGGTATAAGCCATTTATCGTGAGTACTCATCTTTTATTTTGTATATGCCAAAAAGTTAACAATAAAAGCCCATTAAAATATTATTGTCACTGGGTGTTAGTGGCACATGACTGTAAATCTAACTACCCAGAGTTCCAAGAGTCATGGTTGGAAGCGAGCTTGGTCAAGAAAGCTTGTGAGATTCTCATCTCCAATTAAACACCAAAAAAGCCAGAAGTGGAGCTGTGCTCAAGTGGTAGAGCACTAGCCTTGAGCAAAAAAGCTCAGGAGCAGTGCCCAGGCTTTGAGTTCAAACCCCAGCACTGGCTCATGTGTGTGCACACGAGCACATTCGTGCATGTGTGCGCGCGCGCGCGCGCGCGTGGGCACACACACACACACACACACGCACACACACACACTAATTTTGATGAAGCCAGGGGCTTGTAGATCATGCCTGTAATCCTAGCTATTTAGGAGGATGAGCTCCAGAGGACTGAGGTTAGAAGCCTGACCAGGCAGAAAAGTCTATCTCCAATTAACTACCAAAAATCTGGACTGGAGGCAGAGTCCAAGTGGTAGAGCACCAGAAAGGTCTTGGCATGCCTTTGAGTTGCAGAGCTGAGATGAACTCTCATCTGTGGAGCAATAGTAACACGCACTTGCTGCAGACATTGCATTCTTAAGGGAAATGCTCAAACCCAAGGTCTGTTTCCACATCAGAACACATTTCATTCCTTAACTCTTAAACACTTTTGCTTAAGAAGGCAAACAGATGGAGAGGTGCTATTTAATTCTGTGTGCACTGCTCTGTGGTTTGTTAGAGATCAACAAATATGAAGCTATTTATGAATGCTAATATTAGTGTCAAGAAGTGTATCTGTCTACCTTCACAAATATGTTCTTAGATCCCTTCAATGACTCCGAAGTTTATAAGGGAAATAGCATTTCCTAGCCCTCCCACCCATCTTAGGAGATGGTTCTCTCTGCATTTGACTAGTGAGGTGTTCGATGCTGTTGATTTATGCAGAGATATTTTGCATTGTTCCTTTCTCTCTCTTTTTTTGGTGTTTTGTGTGTGTTTGTATGTGCCTGCATGTGCAGGTGTGTGTGCTCTGGTACTGGGGTTTGAACTCAGGGCCTAGGTGCTGTCCCTTAGCTTTTTTTTGCTCAAGACTGGCACTCTACTACTTAGCCACAGCTCTATTTCTGGTTTTTGGTGACTAATTGAGAATAGTTATATGGACTTTTCTCCTCAAGGCAGTTTAGAACTGCAGTACTCAGTTCCCAGTGTCCTGCGTAGCTAGGATTACAGTCATGAGCCACCAGTGCTCAGCACTATTTATTTATTTAGAGACAAGGTTTTACTATGTACCCCAGACTGTCCTGGAACTTAAGATTCTTCTGTCTCAGCTCCTTGAGTTCTGGGATTACCACACCTGGCTTTCAAGAAATACTTTTAAATTTTTAAAAATTATTTTTAAGTAGTTGTACAAAAGAGTTACCATTTACCAAAGCAGATTATGACTACAATGCATCTTGATCCTTGTCAAGAGACTCTTAATGAGACACTTGGGGCCTGTTTCCTCTCTGGGTACTAGCATGGGCACTGAAAACACTACATCAGCTCCTCAACTCTATGGTCCTGTGGCCCCTCAGAATCACAGCTTTCCTCCTAGAAGTTTTATTTCTCTTGATGAAATCTCAAATGCCTTTGTTTTTTAGGGCTTTGGCCCTCAACTATCTGCTCTAAATGTTCTCCTTCCAACACAGCTCTGGATTTTCCATGACCTTCTCCAAGTGAGATGATATGAAAGTAGAAAAGTGGCCTGAACTGTGCAATCAGAGCAGAGAGGGACATCTACCTGTGTCAGGTGCTATCCTTCATCGATGCAGCCTTATGTCCTTGCTTCTTAAATAGCTGCATGGCTGTAGCTCAACCTGGCCACAGACAGTAGAAGTCACCATGTCTCCCCCATAGGCTGCTTCACACCACACTTCACACCTCAGCTCCCTACCCAGGAGCCCACAGCCGTCCTGTGCAAGATGTGAGGACAAAAACCAACTCTGTCCCAGATCCTTCAGCATGGACCTCAGAGATTCTTCCCAAGCCATTTCCATGCCATTTGTCCTCTGAAATCAGGTAACCACAAAAGCTGTTGTTCAAGCTAGAACATGTCTGAGGTAGGACAGAAGCACTGTCATTAATTTATCAAGACAATAAATAAAACCAGAGCTGTGCTGGAATAGCCAGAAGGTGTAGCCACTGTACCCACACATCACTAGGAAGCCATATGGGTGAGAAATAGGAAGCAGTAAGTTCTAGTTCTAGTCTCCCTGTCCCATCACAAAGGCAAGGCCAGTCAGTTCACTGGTTGCTACCACTATTCTGTGTGTGTGTGTGTGTGTGTGTGTGTGTGTGTGTGTATGCTGGGCTAGCACTCAACCATTGGAGCCACAGCTCCACTTCCAAGTTTTTGATGGTTAATTGAAAATAAAGAATTATAGACTTTCCTGACCAGGATGGCTTCAAACCATGATCCTCAGATTCAGCCTCCTGAGTAGCTAGGAGCTACTACTAATTGAATAGGGGTCAGAAGGTAGAGCTCCCAGTGCCAGTCTCCAGCTGGGGCTAATAGGTCAGGTGGTTGCTGTGTATGCATCATGGGCTGTGTGAGTGATACAGATGTGTAATTTCAAGTTTTGTAAACACCAGACACACTAACAAAATACCTGTGCAGATAGTCTTCAAGAGCCAGTTGTTGATTCTTAGTGAAGAATACAGTTTTTCTCCAAAATAATATAGGAAATTGTTTAATAGATTTTTTTGTCTTTTGGTCAGTTGTGTGGCTTGAACTCGTGGCCTGGGTGCTGTCCCTGAGCTCTTTTTGCTCTAGGCTAGTACTCTACCACTTTCAGCCATAGTGCCACTTTTGTTTTTATGGTGGTTAACTGGAAATAAGGGTCCCACAGACTTTTCTTCCCAGGAAAGCTTTGAACCACGACTCTCAGATCTCAGCCTCCTGAGAGCTGCGATTATAGGCATGAAATACCAGCACCTAGCTAATTTTTTAACGTTACTTTACTAAGCTGGGCACCAGTTGCTCACACCTATAATCTTAGCTACTCAAGAGACAGATCTGAGAATCAAGATTTGAGTCCGGCTGGGTGCTGGTGGCTCAGGCCTGTAATCCTAGCTACTCAGGAGGCTGAGATCTAAGGATCAAGGTTCAAAGCCAGCCCAGGCAGGAAAGTCCCTGAGACTCTTATCTCCAATAAACCACCAAAAAACCGGAGGAGGCGCTGTGGTTGAAGAGCTGAGGGACAGCACCCAGAGTTCAAGCCCTATGGCCGACAAAAAAAAAAAAAAAGATTTGAAGCCAGCCTGTGCATGAAAACCCCAGAAAATCTTATCTCCAATTAACCAGCAAAAAGTTAGAAGTAGAGCCAGGAGTCGGCGGCTCATGCCTGTAATCCTAACTGCTCAAGAGGCTGAGATCTGAGGATCGCAGTTCAAAGCTAGCCCTGGCAGGAAACTCCGTGAGACTTATCTCCAATAACCCACCAGAAAAACAGAAGTGGTGCTGTGGCTCAAGTGGTAGAGTGCTAGCCTTGATCTGAAAAAGCTGAGGGACAGCACGCAGGCCCAGAGTTCAAACCCTATGACGGACCAAAAACATGCTGGAAGTAGAGCTGTGGCTCAAATGATAGAGCACCAGCCTTGAGTGAAAAGGCTAAGCAAGAATATAAGGCCCTAGTACCAGCACAAAACAAAATGTAGATAAGATAATTATTCCAACTTTACTGATGTATAATTGACAAATAAAACAATGAGGGGTATGTGTGTGTGTGGGTGTGTGTTGCTAAATGAAACCCAGCAATTCACCCAGCTCAAAGCAAGGATTCTTACTCATCTTTGGGATCCAGACACTTCGGAGTTCTGGCAAAACTCCTGTTTTCTCTAAAAATTGTACCTTTGCAGACTCAAACATGATTCTAACCCTTTTTCAGTCCTCTGGAACTTGTCCATAGAACAAGAGGTGAAGAGCCTGCCCAGAAGGCAGGCACCCCTACCTCCATGCATTTTTGCATCCTGAGCAGCCCAGACTCCAGTTCCTGGCCCTGTAGGTATTCTGTTCTCTACTTGGGATGCTAAGGGCAAAAAGGTTCCCCAGGGCCTTGGATCCTAACCTTCATGAGATAAGCCCTGTTCCTCTAGAAAACAGTTAAGGACAGAGATTTTCTGTAAGGCCTTCATACCAGCTCATGTTCTTTCAGGCTGGAAATATTATTTTCTGTTAAAATGGCCAGAATGATTAGAAACTTTAAAAAAATCCATTATAACAAGTAGTCCTAATAATGCTTGATTATGGGATGCTATAATCAAGAGATTATATAGAACAAGCTAACAGGTATGTTCCAAAGATTGTGGTGGCCTAAATCCCCTTTCTGCCAGGCTCTGTATGTCAGGGCTGCCCGGTCTATATCTTCTCCTCTCTTTACAAGGACACCAGTCACTGGATTTGGAGCTCACTCTATATCCAGGATACCCACATCTTGAGTTCTTTAACAAATCACACTTGCAAAGACCCTATGTCCAAGTAAGTTTGCATTTGGACGTCCTGGGTAGATAGGGATTGGCAGACACAATTGGATTCCTTCCATCTTGAAGCAGACATTTTCAGTACATGTGTGGTACATGTGACCGATGGCAGGCCCTAAGAGATCAGAGTTAAAAGATAATGTCACCTTTTCTAGGAAGTAGTTGAAGTGGCAATGCCTTTGGTCATCCCGAGTTACTGTCATCAATATTAGCCACAAGCTCTGTGGATTGCTTTCTCTGAAAAAGTATGCAAGAAACATTAAATCTTGTAATCTTGCTGAGTTGCTCAACCAAGACAGGGACCCGAGGTCCTTATCTCCAATTCTGATTTTTGCATCTGGTACATGATAGGCAACAGGGAAACTCTGAAACTGATTTCTATTTTCATTCTTTTCTTTTAGGTGGCATAAGTGGGAATAAACTCAAGCAGATGCTTCAGAAACGAGAAGGTAAGTGTGCCTTGTTACAGGCAAGGATGCAGTCTTTTCAGTGGGAAAATGCCTTGGAACATACAATGTGCTTTGTGTTTGGAGAATCAAAAATCTCCCTTAGAAGATTTTCAGGTCTGAGGGACTTCCTCTGTGGTATGTGGGGTGGTATTTTTATTAGTAAGTATTATTGTGGTCAATGTTTGGAGGTTGTTTCCCTAAGAGCTGTTGACGATGGAGATCTCTGAAGAATGTCTGAGATCATGACTGGACTTAGGGCACACAGTCAGAGCACATTAAACCTTACTTGGTGGGGAATACATGGATAAACATTATATAGTACTCTCACATCCAGTTAGCAATTGGAGAATGTTATCTACACAAGGAAACCTTATGTTTGTAACTTGTGGAAAAAATGCTCCTAAGATCTATGTGATAAACAGCAGTAGGATGTCATGGAAATAGAACATTCTGGGCATCACAAAATATGGGACAGTTGACATCAGTTAGGTCAACTGGATCTATTGTGTGGTCTCATGAACATCATTCTCCTCCTCTGAATCTAACTCAGTAAGACTAAGTATTTCAGAAATAACAGTGTGTGACACATTTCTAATCTGGCCATTTAATACCTTATTTTCCTCCCTCTTCACTTATGGGAAAATTCCTAAAATGGAACCCTTGATAATGCATTCTCATACTTACCAGATGATCTTTAAGGACACCCCATCCACATGCACACAGGTGCTTGGAGTACAGGTGGTCTCTCTTGGCCACAGGAAATTTCCCAACATCCTTTGCAGCTTACCTATGAGGCTCTATCTATTCCCTGTCTGTGTTGCTCATTCTCAAAAGCAGCCTTTGGGAATGTGCAGGAGTGAGTGTTGCTCTCACAGGCTCCTCCTATCATAATTATGACTCCTGGTGTGCATGCTTGCCCTCAGCCTTTTCTCCCTTTACACCAAGAAATGAATACTGAGCACCTACTCTATACAGAACAGGACTACAAGCTTTGAAGGTTTTTTTTAAATCCCTTTTTGCCAGGCACCTGTTACTCATGCCTATAAGCCTATCTACTCAGGAGACAAAGATCTGAGGATCTCAGTTCAAAGCCAACCTGGGCAGACAAATTCCTGAGAGACTTTTATCTCCAATTAGTCAACAAAAAGCCAGAAATAAAGGAGTGGCTCAAGTTTTACAGTGTGAGCCTGGAACAAAAAATCCAAGTGAGGGCAGGAGGCTCTGAGTTTTAGCACACAATGATCCCTTCTGATAATTCTATTCATGTAATTAACAGACATAGCAAACTTTAGTTCATTGTCCTGTGAATTCCTTGTGATAGAACCCAAGTAAAGACTGTCAGTACTGTTTTCTAGATGAGGACAGAGAGAGGATACAAACTAGACTGTAGGGGCCAGTCCAAAGGCACAGCTGCATCTCTGAGCACATCCTGCAGATGAGAATGGAATGGGAAGATGTCAGAGAAAGTATTACTAAAACAAGAGTCGGCACTCTTCAATCTATCAAACTGGCCACAATCAGATGGTAAGGCCCAGAGCAGTCTTAAGGGGGTGCTGTGTACTCCAGCAAATAATGTCTGAACCCGGTGGTTCTATCCCTGCTTGCTCCTGGCTCATCTTTCCGTTTCTTTATTCTTCCTTGTTTCTTAAGTCCAACCCTCTTCTGTTTGTGGCTACAATACAATATACATGGTATGATGTATGCAACAGTAGACACTGGTTCTGTTTCCAGAGTGCAGACTCTAAAGGGTAAGACACTAGCTGTAGTTGAGGTCTGGGCTGTAGGCATGTTTTGCAGGGGATGAGCTGAATTTCATTGCTACCCTAAGAAATAGAAGTTGACTGTTAGTGCTTGCCTCTTTACATGGCTGTATACAAATAGGAAAGCTTACTCATAAAGAACAGAGAAACTATTGACTCTTACCATATGCATGTAAGAATGAAGTTGACTCACACCTGCAGTCCTAGCTGATCAGGAAGCTAAGGTTCAGAAGATCGTGGTTTGAAGCCAGCCCAGGTGGAAAGGTTTGTGAAGTTCTATTTCCAATAAACCAGCAAAAAGCTAGACTAGATGCCTGATTCAAGTGGTAGAGCATTAGCTATGAGCTTGGGCAAGCCAAGAGAGCATAAAGCTCTGAATTCAAGCCCTGAGACTGGCAAAAAAAAAATCATTGTGTGGGAGAGGGTGATACAAAATGGTTGAATAACAGGTGCCAAAATACAGGACATAGGAGGAGGAAAGGCTCTTGTTCTACTACACAGTCGGGTGACATGTGATAGAGAACAAGATGAAAAGAGGTCAGACCTTCCCAACAGTAAGAAGTGACCAATGGTTAAGGAGGTGAAGTGCTAGTGTGATGTGATCATTGTGCATTATACACATGCTGAATTTTCACACCATGCACACGCTCATCCCGGGTCAGTTCAGGAAAACAGAAGTAGTTCAACCACAGAAATTCTAATAATGGAAAGACTACTATCTTTTTTTTTGGAAAAGAAATCACTCTTTGTACTTTGGGGTGGGGAACTGACCATTTCAGCACCTGCTCCGGCTAAGACAAATGTCGCCATGGATGAGAACAAAGCCAAAGAGTTCCTGGGAAGCCTGAAACGTGCCAAGCGGCAGCTGTGGGACCGAACTCGGCCGGAGGTACAGCAGTGGTACCAGCAGTTCCTCTACATGGGCTTCGACGAAGCGGTGAGTGTGCTTTCCTGCTGGAGGCTGACACCTTGCAGGGCAGGTTGGGGAAACGGAGGCCCTGGTTGGGAAATAGAACATGGAAAAACTCAGCTTCTTGTTTTGTTTTTGTCTGTTACCTGATGCTGTATCAAAATACCCAGCATGAGGTACATTATAAAGAAATGAGGCTTATTTGAACTTGAAGTTCTAGAAAGTCCAGGGACATGCTTGGCTCTGGTGAGGGCTTCATAGTGCATGACCTCACCGTAGCAGGAGTGTGTGCAGAAGAGGTCACACAGTGAGGCAGGAGGCAAGCCTGAACTTGCTTTATAGCAACCCATTCCAAGGAATGAGGAGAAGCAAGCAATAATCTCTTGGAAGGATAAAGCCTCATGACCTAGTTCCCTTGCAGCTCTTAAAGGCCCTGCCCACCTCAATACTGCCTTCTGGGGACCAAATTTCCATGAGATATGCCCTGGACAGCATACTGAAAGCATATCCAAAGCATAGAGCTACTCAGTACAAATGTCTGAGCCCTGCTATGTGCCATGTGCTATCCAGACATTAGATTACTTGAACCAACAGTGAATGGGCAAGAGATACAATTTCTCACTAGGAGATTTGGGAGTCCAAGTCCAGAGAAGGCAAGAGCCAAAAGCCTGGGTCTCCGATACCTTGATGATCGATTTGCTAGACATACCCTATTTTAGCAGCCTTAAAATTACAGTGCTGGGAGCTGGTTGGTGGTTTATACCTGTAGCTATTCTGAAGGCTGAGATCTCAAGATTGCAGTTCAAAGCCAGCCTGGGAAGCAAAGTCCATGATCTCTAATCAACCACCAAAATAGGTAAATAAAGCGGGAAGTGGAGCTGTGGCTTAAGTGGTAGCATTTGTCTTGAATAAAATAAAATCAGGAACAGTGCCCAGGTGAATTCATGCCACAGGATTAGCACCAAACAAAACAAATGAAAAGATTACTCACAGTGTCCCAAAATACAGCCAGGTTTTTTTTTTAAAATATCAAAACATGTCCAAAACATCAGTATGAGTACGAAAAATCATACAGTTGTATAAAAATCAAAAGTTATATACACTTCTTTAATTCAGGGAGGGGAAGGGAAAAAACAAAATGCTTAATAGGGATACAGGTTGACCCATTGTTATGTACAAGACACCATGTTGAAAACAAACTTTACAACTTGGGAGGGGAGGGTAGTTGTGGAAGTGGGAGGGAAGGGATGGACGGGGAAAAACAAAGGTGGAGGCAACAATGCTCCATAGAAAATGTACTCATTACCTTGCTCATGTGACTGTAACTCCTCTGTACAGTATTTTTACAATTAAAAAACGTACAAAAAATCAAAAGTGACTATTAAATAGAGGAGTTTTTGCAGCTATTAGGAGAAACTTTGTCAGTACACTTGAGAAAGATGGTACAGCTCATGCACCTAAGTAACTTGAGTAGACAAACCCAGAAAATTAAAACAAAAGAATGTTTATAATTGTAGACTCCACCTAGGGTGCAAGAACAGCTCAGAGCGGGGCCGGGCTGAAGGCCTAGACTGAGTCTGGTTGAGGAGTAATTGACTGGAAACCATGAAGCCTGCACCCCACTCCCAGGACAGATGGGTTTGTCACAGATGGCAACTAGGCAGCTGAAATGGGTACCTGCTGTGTATAGAAGGTGTAACCAAAGTAATGTAATCAATGGGTATAAAGAAGAAAGCTTTAGATATTTCTTGTGTGCGTGCGTGCGTGTGTGTGTGTGTGTGTGTGTGTGTGTGTGTGTGCGCGCGCACGCGCGCGAGGACTTGAATTCAGGCCTTTATGCTTGCTAGGTAGCTGCTTTACTGCTTGAGCCACACTTTGAACTTTTTATTCTGTTTATTTTTGAGATATACTTTTGTTTAAAGATCAGGTCAGACTAGATCTTGATTCTCTTACCTTGACATCACTATGATGACAGTTGAAAGCTACCATGCTCAATTGTTTTCTATTGAGATGGGGTTTTGTGCACTTTTTGTCTTGGCTGGACTCAAACAGCGAGCTCTGGTCTTCTCTTTCTGAGTAATTAGGATTACAAGTATGAGCCACTGGTTCTCAGCCTAGATATCTCATTTTTAATGGCTGAATAAAAAAAATCATGTGGTTGTGTCATGGATTCCTGCCCATTGGTTACTCCCTAAATGGCTTTTTGGGCAGTAAATGTAAGTTTCTTTTTGCTGTGCAAATAGGTAAGCATTTACAGCCAAACTTTGTGCCATGTATGATGCTAAGTACTTATAGGAGTGAAGTTATTCATCATTTAAGCAGTCCAAAGGGCATATACTATAATTTGCATCTCTGTGACATTTGTCTCTTACTGAAGTTGATGTTTTGTCCAGAGTTACTGTGGAGGTAGATCAACATGTAATAAGTCATAAACATTTTTAAGTTGCATGATCCCCTAAGTCCTACATGAAAACATTGCCACTTGTAGAATCTTTAGGTTATAATCTTATATTTGAAATCTTCAAGACTGAATTCTGTGGCTCATACTTGTAATTCTAAGCAACTCAGGAGGCTGAGACTTAGAGGATCACGGTTTGAAGCCAGCAAGAAAGAAAAGTCCGTGAGACTCCTATCTCCAATGACCAGCAAAATGCTGGATTGGAGGTATGGCTCAAGTGATAGAGTGCCAGCTATGAGCAAACAAATAAAGTAAGAGCTGGAGGTCCTGAGTTGAAGGCCCTGCACTGACAATAAGTTAATTAAAATGCACTCATATACATACATATATAGTTTGTATGTGTATATATGCATTCTTCAGTAATTTGTATTTCTTTGGTAGCCATCAGAAATGGGCATGAAGAGTTTAATATGGAGAATAGCTAATGTAATATAATATCTGGCAACAAAAGGTGATTAAAGATAAGAGAGGCTTTGTGTAACTGCAATTAATGGGTAAAGCAGGAAATCAGGCCACCTAGAAATCTTGGTATTTTTAGCAGTAGCTGAAGTAAGCACAGGACTAAAATTCAGCACACATCCATTAGCAAGCTCTAGAAACTACTGAAGTAGGTGTGAAGGGCAGGAATGCTCAGCTGTACCTACCAGTTGGATATCAATCTTGATTGGAAAAAGAAAATAAACCAATATTGTTTTAATTTTAAAAAAGTCATTTTCTAAGCTAGGTTCCAGTAGCTTGTGCCTGTAATCTTAAATAATATTAACTAACTACTTAGGAGGCTGCAATCTGAGGATCTTTGTTTGAAGCCAGCCCAGGAAGGAAAATCCATGAGACTCATCACCAATTAACCAGCAAAAATACCTGAAAATGAAGCTATGACTCATACTAGCCTTGAGCTAAAAAGCTAAGGGACAGTGCTCAGGCACTGAGTTCAATCCCAGAACTATAGATCTAATAGTTATTAATCTTCAAAGCAAAACCACGATGGGGGAGAGCTGTAAGTACATCCTCAATCTTTCTTTTTTCCTATAGAAATTTGAAGATGACATCACCTATTGGCTAAATAGAGATCGGAATGGACATGACTACTATGGCGATTACTACCAACGTCATTATGATGAAGATGCTGCCATCGGCCCCCAGAGTCCCCACAGCTTCAGACACGGGGCCAGCGTCAACTATGATGACTACTGACCATGCCTGGCCGCTCACTGTGCAGAAAACCAATAGGGTTTCTCTTTAGCCATACCTATGCCTTACACTACTTGTGTAAAGCGCTTTATTTCTGTGTCACTCAGCAGAGTTTAAGCACCAAATATAAGTGCCTGTTCATGCAAATCTCTAACAATGCATCTCATTAAAAATAGAAATAAAGCATTTTGTTAAAAAGAAAAGGCTCAGCATTCATTTAGGTAAAAATTAAGCTACAAGATTTCTTACTTCCTTCATACCTTGAAGTTGGAATGTCGTCTGAAGACCCTCTCTGCTGTATCTTACAAGGAATCCTCCTAGCCCCAAGCACAGCATGGGAGCCAAAGGGTTTCAGTTTGTTCAAATGCAGTGGATAGTGAGTTCAAAAGTTAGACTCAGCAAGAAAATCGAGTTGAAAATGGTTTCTTCTTACAGAGTATGGTTTAGAGGATTATAATCATTGGTCAGGTTCCAAGTCAAAGCCGGATATATTTAATATATCACCTAGAAAATGAAGAACAACAGAAAATACCCCGAAGGTTAGTTGGTTACAGGACCATGCTCATCTAAGAAAAGCAATAAAATTTTGTCCAATGAATTCAAGGAAGTTAAAGAAACCACTTTGCCTTTTATTTAAACATTTGATGAACAGTACTGGAGTGGGAAGAGGGAGAGTAAGAGGAATCTGAGCAGGTCCTCATGAGAGAGGGTGTGTTCCAGCTGTGGCACATCTGTAGCTCTGTGCACACCTGCACAGGTGTGGTAGGAGGAGATTTAACAGCATGAGGTGGGGGGAGGTGTTTCAGAATGGCTCTCCATATTTTTGTGGTCCAGAGGCCCTGCTTTCATAGATCCTGTCTAATGAAAACCTTTGCTTTTTCCATCAGAAAAAAATTGTATGACATTACTGTGCAATCATCTCTGTAAGGCACCTTCATTCACAAACCTTAGGGGATAAGTAACCAGGTACTCTACATTGGAGATAGCAGTATTTATGGTAATTAAACACAAGCTCATCCATTTCTTTCTTGGGAATCCTATAACATCATCATCATCATACTTAAGTAGTTGTACAAAGAGGTTTAATTCCACATGTCAGCTTAGAACAATGCATCTTGATCAATGTCATCATTTTCTTCATTCTCCACCACCTCTCCCAACCCTACCTGTCCCTTGAATGTACTTGGTTCCATTTTCACATATGAGTGTATTTACACACCTTTCCTCTCTACATCCACACCCCTTTCCTTGACCTCCCCACACAAGTTCCAAAGGAGTTACATTATTGGAATCCCCCTAAAAATACTATACTTTAATGTGCTTGTGTATATATGCACATGACAATGTATATGTTTACATATATTTATAGTTTAGATCTGACTTCCACTATGATAGAAAACATGCACCCTTTGTCGCTCTTAGCCTGACTTCACGTAACTTTTCAAGGTCCATCCATTTCTCTGTAATTTACATAATATTCTTCCTGATGGATGAGTAAAATTCAAACACACATTATATAAGTATGCATATGTATATAGATGATATATATCACATTCTGTAATACATTGTGATAAATATACACTACACCAAATGTACCATTTTAACCAGTCTTAGGTGTTCAGACCAGTGGCATTTAATGCATTTACTTTGTCCTGTACATCACTATGTACCTTTTGAATTTTTCCAGCCTCCCAAGCTGAAGTTCTGTCCCTGTTAAAAACTAGTTTCCCACACTCACGGCCCTCAGTTCTCTGTAACCACTACGTAACTTCCTGTCTCTATTTTGACTACTCCTCAGTAGACATAAGGTGTTTATCTTTGAGCTAGCTTTATTTCACATGACATAGTGTCTTCAAGGTAGCATGTGTCAGAACTTCCTTTTTTCAGGCTGAGTAACATTTCACGTTTTGTTTATCTGCTCATCTGAGGGACACTTGGGTAAGTGACCCCCTGGTGGCTAACATGAATCATGCCACTATGAGCTCAAGATTCTCTTTGTGTCCTGATTCTAAATTTCCTTTTGAATTATTGGGCTGTAATTTTGTATTTTATTTTTTTTCCTGTTGGTTTCTCTTTTTTCTTTTTATTGTCTTATTTTTAATTACTTTTAAATTTTGTATTGTAAAAGTGATGTATGGGAGTTACAGTTACATGAGTAAGGCAATGAGTACATTTCTTATCAAGCATTGTTACCCCCTCCCTTGTTGTTCTCCCACTATCCCTTCCCTCCCCACTTCCCTCACTTTTAAGTGAAGTAAGTCAGACACAAAGAAATATAGGTCCCATGGTTTCCCTCATTTGCAATACATAGTATATGTCTAGGATAATTTTATCAGATGAGCAGAAAAGCTCAAAAACTATGTGCATATGGCCATATAAGATGATACTAAGTGAAATGAACCCCAAAATATGGACACAAGATGTCTTTTTGTTGTTGTTGGTTTTAATGTACTATGTGATTTTTTTTTGTTTCCCTATGGTATATATACCATATCCCTATGGTATATCCCCTGTTGTCACTGTACTTGATTTTGGTACTATGTATCTTGTATATACATTTGTCTAATTTGGGGAGGGGAAGGGAATAACAAAACACTGAAACAAGGACACAGGATGACCCATTGTAATAGTGATACCCACAAGAGAGTATATTGGAAATGAACTTTACAAGCTGGGGTGGGGGGAGAGGAGGGAGGAGCTCAGGTTTGGGTGGAGCTGAGGACCAAAGGTGGGCCTAATGCTTACAATATGGGTATTGAGTTATTTTGATTTGTGCTGATACTGGAGCTTGAACTCAGCCATGCTCTTGCTTGGCTTTTTTCACTCAAGGCTGGCTATCTACCAGTTGAGCCACAGCTGCACTTCTGGTTTTTTTCTGGTTAATTGGAGATGAGAGTCTTATGTGCCTGGGTTGACTTCGAACTGTGATCCTCAGACCTCAGCCTCTTGTGTGGCAGGATTACAGGTGTGAACCACCAGCACTCATCTTAGATTCTCCCTTCTTTATTAAGATGATATAACATTTCCTTTTAAGTCTGTTCATTAATATGGTGACTTTTATTACTAAATAGCCTATCATTAAGTAAATAAATCTAGCAATTAAAATTTCCGAATAACCCTAATTGGTCATCTTTTGACTACTTGCTAAATCTGGTTTGAAAGTTTTGTTTCTGCCTGATCCATAAGATTGGCCTGTCCCTTTCTTTTTGGTTCTGTTCCAGTGGGACAGTTGGTACATTTAGGTTAGGCTGGTCTTATAAAATGAATTGGCCTTTTAAGATTCTCTGTAAAAATGAAAACATTTCCAGAGTGGCTGATAGAATTCAGGTGAAACCATCTGGAGCTAGACACCAGTGGCTCATACCAGTGACTGATATGATGGAGAATTAGAGATGAGTTATAGTATTTGACTTAAACTGTGTAAGGGGGACAACAAATGAATCTAATAATATGATGGGGAATTAAAAATGAGCTAAAGTATTTCACTTAAACTGTGAAGTAAATGATGAATGGATTTAAAATATGAATGTAACTAAGCTTCTTGTGGATGAGACTTTCTTGGTACCTAACTAGTTAGCTTTTGTAACCCTACCTCTGCCCTTTCCTGAACCACGTGTGTTCCCCAACCTAGATGAGCCTTTAACATCCTTTGTTGTGTTCCTTGAGCTTCCCAGGGAATCCAAGGCACTCCCAGCTCCGGCGGGAAGCCAATGATATCCTTGGGTGGCAAGCTCGGAATTAAAACTGGCGCAGCCATTGGTTGGAATCTGAACAGCCTTATGCCGTGAGTTGTACCTCCCCTTCTCCTCCCCTTCCCCCGCCCCTGCGGAGATTAATTGCGGATTGAGTGGTCTCGCTGTTACTACCTCCCCCCCCCCCCCCCCCCGCCCCTTCCCCCCCCACACAATCAGGAAAGAGAAACATCTAAGCATCATGGTTCAAAACCAACCACAGCAGGAAAGTATTGAACAGTCATAGTCATGTTAGGCCACATGCAGGTGGCCAATGGAGTTAGTCTGCCTTATAGTAGTTGCTTAAACTATCCTATCATTTTGGTTTGAATTGGCATGTGAATTTGGCTGGCAAAAGGCAGGGTTTCTCTCATAAGCGGGTGGTGCTGCCAGTTGAGCAAGATTACAACTTGTGTGCTTTATGGGTCAGTTTTTAACTGAACAATCAAGGGTGGGTTAGGTTGTTAAGGGGAGGGGGACCAGATGCATTTTTTTTTCATTCTGGGAACTGGGCCCATCAAGTCTAAAATCCCTAAAACAAAGGCAAAGCTCAAAATGCAATCATACTAGCTTGGGCCCCATCTCAGGGTCCACTTCAGCGAAAGTGGTATATAACTCCAGAAGGGACAGCATTTGGGCCTTAAGTTTAAGCCCTAGTCCTAATGTGTGCATGTACACACACATACACACACACACACACACGTACACACACGCATATTCACAAGCTATTTGGATGCCAGGCTTTCTTTACTCTCTTTTTTTCCTTCCTTCCTCCCTCCCTCCTTCCCTTCTTTCCTTCCTTCCTTCCTTCCTTCCTTCCTTCCTTCCTTCCTTCCTCTTTCTTTCGTTGGTCATGGGGCTTGAACTCTGGGCCTGGGTGCTGTCCCTGCGCTCTTCAGCTCAAGGTGAGTGCTCTACCACTTGAGCCACAGTGCCACTTCCAGTTTTCTGGTGGTTAATTGGAGATATGAGTCTCATGGACGTTCGTGCCTGGGCTGGCTTTGAACTGCAGTCCTCAGATCTCAGCCTCCTGAGTAGCTAGGATTATAGGCGTGAGCCACCGGTGCCCAGTCAGGCTTTATGAGAAAACATTTTGATTATTAACTGCATCTCTTTTTATTATTGTTTTTATTTTTTTTCATTTTAATTGTTCAGGGGAGTTGTACTTCTGGATTCCTCTTCTAAGTATACACTGAAGGCCTTGCCTCTCCCTTCAGCCCAATTGTTTTATGTACCCACCCTGTTTTCCCAGGTGCCACCCGGTATGTGTAGACCGCTGTAAATATCCCATTGTGGTTCCAACCAAAGAGCCCCCTACCTCCTCAGACCTTATGGCTTTTTCATCAACCTCTGCCTCCTTTCTCAGACCTCATAAAAACCCAACTCCTATCCCACCTCTTTGCACAGTCTCCAA